AACGTATTCAGAATTGATCATTCTCCACCCCCTACACTGCTACAACTTAGTCCATCTCTCTTTATCAGGATTATTGCGATAGTTTCCACTACTCTCTCATTTAACTATAGTCTTTTTCTCAAAACAGCGGCCTAAGAGATCATTTTAAATGACCCCACCTCACCCAGCCTGCCTCTGGCTGCACACATTCCGAAAGCTAGGCCAGACTCCTTTCCTCGAGCTTCCGTCACTCACCAACGTCACATTCTGTTCAACGGCCTCTCTTTTTCCAGTTATGGGACCCTAACTCCTTGTGATGTGTTTCCTCATCCCCTTGAGCTCTTTGTTCAAATGCCACCTGAACTGGGGCATGCCCTGGCCACCCTATTTAACAGGGCAGTCCTCAACATCCGCTCTCAAGAACTTCTCATCCCTTTCTCTGATTTATTTGCTCCTCAAATATATTCAATTTATCAATTTATGATCTCTACTGGAATGTAACTTTCTGAGAAAAGTATTTTTCTGATTTGGTTACTGCTGTAGCATGAATAATACTGCCATGTTTTAGTAAATATTAAGTGAAATGACTTGAATCCTAGCTCTACTAACTCTTGTCATACATTACTGCACTCAGATAAAAAATTCATCTGATCTGATAAACAATTATTTAATCTTTAAGACCCTGAGAAGTCATACCTGCCGCATATGCTAATGAAATACCAGTGGCTGTTCTATGCCAGCATAATCAGGACCTCTTACCTAAATTTTTTTGGGGAGGAGTAGGTGGCAGAGGCTGACAATCTAGGTGGGGATAAGAAATCTTCTAGCCTCTTGTGCAGGTAACTATAAAATGTATCCAGTGAAATTAACAGGTCCTAAACTGATGAGCTTAGATTTGTAACTGGGAAGGGATGTGCTCTTTTACTAAACTTTATCAGCCCATTCCTATGAGGCTCAGGCCACCTCTCAATGCCATCTTTTTGTCCTGCCACCTCCACCTGGGTTGGCACTTCCCTGACAGCTGCCTCCCGTTCCTCCTCGCCCATGTTCCTTATTACTCCTTCTGATAAGACTGGCTCTGGAACTTTCTTAACATTTCTCTTCAGCCATAATTCTCTCTCTTTTTAAATAAAAACAATGGGGATAATAAAATTACCAAACCTGAGAAAGTACAGAAATTTAAAAACTTTTCCACTCTCTTGTGACCATGGCCCCTGGCCTGTATCAGAAGGTTTATTTCCAGGTAAGTAATCAACAAACAAATTTAGTTATTTTGTTTGTTATTGTTTTCGATTATTAAAATTAATAAAGTGCTACGAAAAGGAATTCCAGTTGGGAGGCAGAAAAAAGGTTAAAGCAGCTAAAATACCTTTTGCTGAAAAAACATCCCAAATGAATAATCTCTTTTTTTTCTGTGAGGGTCGCAGAGGAGAACTGCACCCTTTCCTGGGGTTGGCAGGGAGCAGGCGTGCAGAGAGCGAGCTCTGCGCGGGAGCGACACAGCCCTGCCTGTGACTGCACACGCAGCTGCCTGCCTAGCACGTGGTTTGAAACCTCGAACGTCCCCTAGAAGGGGCTGTCTCTGCGTCAGTTATGGAGAGACTCGAGGTGACCTGGAAAGGCTGGCAGCGTTTAGCAACCCAGGGTCAGGCCCTGGGTTTACCAGGTTATGCTGTGTAATGTGAACAAAGCAGACTCTATTGCTTTTTAATAGATGAAGAAGGTAAGATAATTATAATAATGATCCCAAATCAAGTGTGAATGATTCAAACCTCATTTTTTTTTAACAAAATCAATTTTTCTTTCCACTATACTAATATTTCTTAAGATGGTTTCATTATAACCTCAGCAACTTATTTTAAATTTTCAGCACAGACAGTATGAAGGCATGTGTGCGTGTATGTGCATGTGCGTGCGTGTGTGTACTTCAAGTCTGGAGGCGGCTAGCATTCTAATCAGGAAGCCATGCGTCAGAGGCGGCCATGAACATTATGTCAGAAATGGCTCAACTCCAGTGGCAGCTACTCCAGGTTTTCTGCTCTCTGCTCCTATGATCAACTTACTGAATGCCAAACTGGGTGTCCTTTGATGAAACTGGTTTGTTAGTTAGCAAAACTGTTACTAATATTAGGAAAGAAATCTCAATGGTGAAATTAAAGATATTAAAAATAGGTAGTTTGGCAAAACATCTCTTAGAGACACCCACAGCTGGTATAAGATGGTAGAAGACTCCACTGAGGCCTATGATCTGAGCCTTGGAGAAAGTTCTAGAGTCTGGATGACTTCATGATCCTGTTCCAGCTACCAACTTAGGAGGCTCTCTGTTGCCTGGCACCAACTTTGAGTGCGGCTGAGTCCTACTTCTAAAATATTGCCACTGCTGCTTGAAGGGAACGTTTTAGTCAAGGTACAGCGAGTCATAGGTCTAGGACTTCCCCGAGCTTACGGAAGAGTCTGCATTAACAGTGCTGTGCGGACTTGCTATAATCATTCATTTAATAAATATCTATGTGAGTGCACTAGACCTTGGCCTGTGACTTCTTTTCACTGCTCCATGGTGGTAAAGTTATTTGAGAAGAGCTATTTCTTATTTACCTCACGTTTCAGTGGCTGGCATCTTTAAAAAAGAATCTAAAAGAATGTGTATGCAAATTGGCTAAGGTCAATCTGTAATTCTGTTCCTCAGATCATTTGTGTCAGAATCACCTGCAGTTTCAAATTCCTCAATTTCTCGGCATCTGCATTTTAACATTCTAGGGGCGGGGCTGCTAACCTGAGTCGTAAGGAGTTCCCCTAGTGGTTTTCATATACTCTGAGGACTCAGCTAATGAAGATATAACCAAGGAAGATCATGACCATTTGCCAACAGCATTTCTCAATAGCAGATCAAAGACCCAAGAAGGAGGAAATATGCTCCTGACTGCTGGGTTTGAAAACCAAAATCTGTAAAGCAACAGTAAATAGCAAACTATAAAGCCTTCATCTCCTATAAAGTTTGTGCCATAAATTTGTGGTTATAGCTATTTGCTTACCCATCTAGATGGAAATAGATCAAAACTGGCTGTAGGCATCCAGCAATCTCATCCATGGCCAAAATATTCCACTGTCATTTGGATGGGTAGAAGTTATCAATAGCTTTCCAACTGACTACTGTGCTGCACTGTCTATGGCAGCAATGAACACTTGGCCCAAAGCCCATCATATTAAATATGTCGTTGGATGAAAATCATTCTGGCTATTGGGCTACTTTTTCTCACATCAATAAGCTCCAGTTTATTCACACATAAGACATACTGTCTGACTCTCATCCACTCATCAAATACGTATTGAGAGCCTTTTTAAACTTAGTAATTTTAACTTCCAACAAATACCATGAAAGATTAAAGAAGCAGAGGTCTAGATCAGGACCTTCTGTCTCCGAGTTGTTACTCATCACTGTCACGTCGCAGAGGGAAGAAACGCCCTGGTACCCGAGTCAGAGCTCCTGAATTCAGGTGCTGGACACGAACTCAGTGGCGAGTCAGTAAAGATCCTAGGGCTTTTACTTCTTTTAGACAACAGGAAATAAAATGCTTGCCTTGCCTCTTTTTCATTAGTTTACTAATTCACTCACACGTCTCACACGTATTTATTTGTCATCTACTATATTCCAGGTATTTTTCTAGGACCTCAGGGAATACAGTAAGGAACAAGGCATATAAGATCACTGCTTAATAATTAGAAAAATGTATAAATGCAGGAATATAAACATATATTTATGTAAACAGATAAACATATGCGAATATTAATATATTTTTCTGAGGCAAATATATGTGCACATATATTTTCTAAAGTTTAAATCAAAGCCTTTTCTAAGGATGCAATGTATTTTTTTAGATCTCACATTGTATGATTTAAGATGAGAAAGGCAATAATCTAATGAAAGATATATTGCTCTAAACAACAAACCTTTAATAAAAGATGTCTCCATATTTCACTAATGATAAAAAAATCGACTTCTGGCAGGGTGCCTTCTGCAGGATAGGAAGCGTGCTAGGTTCACACTGCAGAATCTATCATTAAAAGAATCTTCCTTTTTACTCGTCTTTTCATTGCTTAAGAACCAAGATACATGTGATCAGATGGCTTCTCATGGAAGGCAGTCTGAAGTGGGCAGTCTCTAATATGGTCCCAATGACCCTTGTCTCCCTGTGCAATCCCCTTCCTTTAAGTGTGGGCTGGATTTAGGGACTCATGTCTAACCAGCTGTACATAACAGAACTGATGGGATGTCATTTCCAAAACAGAATTATAAAAACCTTTGGCTTACATCTTGGAACCTTTCTTGCTTACTGGCCTTCCCCTCCTGTCCCCTTCCCTTGGATCCCTTCCTCCCCTCCTCCCCATCCCTGCCCCTCAGCCCAACCACCAGGAGGAGAGGCCACTTAAAGATGAGAGGACCTGAAGGGTCAGAGCCTTGGGAAGAACGAAGGCACCTCAGCCAAGAACCAGCATCAACCGTCCATTGAGCGAGTGCATCCTCTTGGAAGCAGACCCTCCAGCCCAGTTAAGGCTGCGAATGATGCAGCCACATCCAACCGTTTGGGTACAAGCTCATGAGAGACCCTGAGCCAGAGTCTCCCACTTACTGAGTTCCTGATCTAGAGTAACTGTGGGATAACGTTTGTTGTTTTAAGCCAGTAAGGTCTGGAGTAATTACTTACACAGCAATAGGTGACTAATACATAATGCAAAGACCTGACTCTTGAGGATAGTATCATGAGATTGAATCAGTTTGAAACCTATGCTTTATAACTCAAATATATGAATTAGACTCGAAGAATATGATGACATCATATTAATTCCTTTATCATGAAGAAACATACATTTGCCACTCTTTTTAACTGAATGGGATTAGAGTTTGTTTTTTCATGAGATCTACTGAGTTCACTGAAACAAATAGAAATACTTTCTAATCAAACTTCATTAAAACTCTGTTTTTAGCAACGTAATAGTTACCAATAAAAAACTGGTAATCTTACCTCCAAAGAAGTACTTCTCGCCAGTTTTAACTTGAAGAGGACTATTAGTGCGAACTGCTGATGCCTCATCGCCATCGATGGTGAGAATAGCAAAATTTTCCTTAGCTAGGAAACGAACCTCATGCCACTGTCCATCGTTTAACCCAGAACCTGTTAAGTACAAAATCAGAGTCAAGTTATTGTCTTAGGATGGTTCAGTTTAAAACAATTTTTATTATCAATAAAGTCAGAACTTTACAAATAAAAATTAATATATTTTCATCTAGGAAAATCTGGTGATACTTACAATCGATATCTCATGTTTCTTTAACATTATAAGAGGTTTTATTCTCCACTGAACCAAATAAAGCATAATATAACCCAGTCTAAGGAAACAGCACTAATGGGCCATTGGGGTACTTGGGAGAATGAATGGAGTGAATAAAGTTGTCTGGGAGGTGATGATGAACTACTTTAATTTAATAACTTATTTTCTGGTTAGCTTTACTAGACTCTAATCTCATATAAGAAAATGGGTTTATGACTTTTGTCTAATATCTCTGTTTTTATAAGCTTTTTAGTACTGTTATGTTTTCTCAATAACCACGTCTGGCAGATATAGTTTATATAAATTAAGGACTAAAGAATAAGTGTGTGAGTATGGACAGTTATTGGTGCTAATTGACCACTAATAAGCTTGGGAAATAATACCAGAATTAATTGATCATTTATAAATATGGTATCTTTCTAATGAAGTAGGTTATATCTAAACAAATAAAATAAAATACATAAATAAGTCAACAACTCCCACCCCTAACAATATCCCACTGCCGCCTCACACAAAAATCTTCGGAAACAGAAATTCTTTTAAGCTCTCCATTACACTGACAATAATTTAAAGTTTCTGTTTAATTTGTGTCCATTTTATGAAGCATAATTAGAAAATTAAGGAGCATACAGAGGAGAACAGCCATTGAACATCAGTATCTGGAAAGTTTAAGAAGCACTAAGAGACCGAGAAGTCTATGAGGCTCAGAGTGCCCTTCTTCTACTTTACGAAGGCCTACGCTGTGGCAAAGGGAGGATACTCTGTTCTAGTCTGCTCCAGACAGAATAATCTAGGTAGGAGTTACTTGAAGATACACTTCATGTTTACAAAAGAGAAGTCTAGCAAGTAAAGGTATCCAAAAAATGGAATGAGAGTAAATTAATGAAGCACTGATGACGGCTTCTGGCTTCTGATCAGAGGTGTGCAAACATCCACTTATAGGCCGAATCCAGTCTGGGGCCATCTGTTTTTGTACAGCCTGAGAGCTAAAAATAGTTCTCACATATTTAAACAGTTGCAGAATAAAATGAATAACAACAGTAAATTACATGTGAAACTTACATAAAATTCAAATTTTAGTGTCCACCTAAAATTTTATTAGAATACAACCAAGCTCACTTGTTGACATACTGTCAAAAGACAGACTCAAATCAACAGTGGCTGTAGAGACTACATTGCCCACGAAGTCCCAACTATTTATTGAGTGGTCCTTTACAGAAAAAGCATAAACTACTGGTTGGCATATGCTATTAAACAGAAATACCATTAAGAAAAAAGTTAAAGCCTGTTGACACTTAGAAGATAGTCACATATAGGTAGTATATGCTGATATACTGGTAAATATCATTATAAATAATCCCTCCCTCAGGTATTTTTCTTAGAATTTTCAAGTTTTAATTTAGTAATACATATTTGAGCATATTTTATTTCAATGGAGGAAAACAGAAAATCGTTGCTTTAAAATGATTAACACTAAATAATTTCCAAACTATGAAATGTATAATACATATGAATATATACATATATATATAATAGTTTTGCACTGTGAAATTACTATGCAAATGTAAAATCTTATTCTAAAATTAAAATCAGTTAGCTGTCTGACAAGTGGTAGTGTTTACTGAAATACTTCCTTCTCAAATAGGTCACTTTTGGGTTCGCCCACAGAACTGATGCATAGAAGACTATCTTCACCATAACATTTTTCTTTAAAGTATGAAACTGGGTTTAATGTTGATTAATCACACAAGAATATGGTTTTGATTTTGGTTTTTACCTTTAAAATGTTATGAATACTGCTTTGAAAAGCAATATTTGGGCATGGATCTCAAGGACATCAATGTTACAAATGTTCATTTCCTAAATAATCACTCATGCAGAAGAAGTCACTTGTAAGTTATAATCAGCTGACAGAACATCCTGTTCTAAATAGTAGACCAGAGAGCCCTTCTAAAAAATCCTACAAAAATTTCTTCTTCACGAAATTAATTTATAAACGAAGACTGTTGGCTTAATTGTTAATGGCAAAAAGGTCTATAATTCCAATTAGATTAAAATTAAAAATGTTACTTTATTTCAAGAAACAATTCACTAATTAAACTAGAGAAATTGGATCGCAGATAAAAGCAAGTTTTGTTGATAGTAGCCATTGCTGCATCTGAGCTTGAACTGTGATTTCTATTCATTTTGACTCAAATTATTATTTTTAACTTTTAATGCTAATCATCAAGAGGTGCCTCAGCAATCTATGATAGAAATGGGCCTCCAAACATAATGAAGTTCATTTTTCAGTGGGGCAAGAACGATCTAATTGCTCAAAATATGCTGCTGCTTTTAAATTTTGTTCACCTGCATGTTATAAAAAATAATGGCCTAAAGGCTCTCTCTGGAGAAGAATCTAATTTCACGATCTCTGATATGTATTTATAGATATACCATTTTAAACTCTATGTAACAGTCAGTCTGCTAAGTACTTTCCTTGCATTTTACTCATTTATAATTCACAAAGCATTTTAAAAAATTATTGTCCCCAATAAATAGGTGAGAGAATCAAAGCATCCTACAACTAATAAAGAGCAAAACGTAGAATGAGAACTCAGATATATCTGGTTCCAGAGGCTGAATTCTTATAAACAACAAACAGAAACAAAACCAACAACAAAACACGTTTATTATATAACTTGTGTGGATCCGTGATCGGAGTCCTCTTATACTATGTGTGTATCCACACGCACACGCACACACACAAACACGTTTCCATTTGCCACCACCCCTGGACACGAGCTCAATTTCTGGAGATATTCTTGTCTCATACAGCATTAAGGTTGTGAATAAACTGAGACATCTCAAGTTTCACCTGTCAGCTTTCAGCATTTGCACCATCAGATTTCTGTTGTATTGGAATATCCCACATGCTACATCTCTTTTAGTATTTTCTTACAAGAACTAATATTCTTCCCTTAAAATTGTAATTAGAATGGAAATTTTATAACATAAATTTGAGAAGCAAATTCTAGCATTTTTTTCCCCAAGGCACATTAAAATAAGCCCATGAGTATTTATTTAAATCATCTCTGTACTTTGTGAAACTCTGAGCAAAGAGAACTGTGTTCACTCTTTTTACTTTATAATGAGGGGAACAAGCTATCTTGCTAGTTTGTAGAGCTGAGACTGTAATCCACACCTTTTGACATTCGAACAGTAGTTTTCCCCACTATTCAGAACTCAGCCATTGAGATTTTATGGTGAGAAAAAAAGGGTGCCATAGTTTCAGCATATTTCATCTCTGTCTGTGTGCATCCTCTGCAGTGCAAAGAAGACTCAGACAACTTTGTATGAAACACAGACTAAAATATGTGAGCGCTCCTGCAAACTTGCTCCAAAATGTGTTTTGCCTTTATCATTTACTGGACCATCTGTCACTTGCAGAAAGTAGTATAGAATTAGTTTTGTTTCAGTGAAGCAAAAAGGAATAGACTTGTTAAGACATTTTAAAATTAACAATATTGTTTAATAATTTTAAGTTGTTTGAAGTGGGACATGCATGAAATTCAATACTATATGAAATGTACTCAGAGTACCGTAGCTGATCAGATTGTTGCTGTAACATATAAACTTACAATAAATACCAATACAGTTATTCAGAAAAAAACGTATTGTCCCATTTCATTAGAAATTTGTGAGTCATTATTAACAAAGAACACATAACTAAACAGGATTAAAGCGCTTCTCATGTGCTGTTAGAGTTGTTTTTCCTCCGCTCATTATTCTAGAGCTAATGAACATCTCAGGGAATGGAGACACACACCTAGGACCCATACCTCTGATGCAGTGGGTTCCTGGTGGCTGGACAGTGGCTCAAGACCACACCAAAAAAGGATGCTGGTACTTGTCTTAAAAAAAGAGACTCTTGTCTCACATGGTTAACATCTCCTGAGAGCCTCATATATGTCTGTTACCATGTACACATACTGTATATGTCCCTTATTGTATTGGCTCCTCTCAGTAGTGAGCAGCAAAATAGCAGAAAGGCAGGAAAGAATGGTGGTTAGGAGGGCTGATCCAGGAACCAGACTGCCTGTGTTTGCTCTAGCTCTTGATAACCTAGTCAATTTATTTAACCTCTTTGTGTCTCAGGCTTCTCTGCTCTAAAATGCAAATAACGGTATCCACTTTGTAGATTTCTTTTGAGGACTAGATGAATTAGTGTTTGTATTCATTAAAACAGTGCCTGGCACCTAGGAAGCAGCATATCTGTATCATTAGATTAAAACACAAAGAAGCTTTGATCCATCTCATTTTATAGAAAAGGAAGCTGAGACAAGTTGAGTCCCTATTCTTTGGGCTTATTACCTCAGAATTACAAACAAATACTGGTGTATTTGTTATAAATAGCCTTCTAAACAAGACAGCAATGTACTAAGTCTTAACAAAGTGAAGATCATGGACATTCACATATGACACAACTGGAAAAAAAAGAGTAAGTCCTGATGTCATGCTAACGGGCACCATGTCCAGTGACAGCATTAGACATGGAAAAAATGCCTGTATTCAAACGACTTAGACAAAGGTGAAGATGATTTGTTCTGCAAAAGTGTGTTGCATGGCTCACAAGTTATGACAATGACACCGATGTTAAAGCTGCATGTAAAGAAATTAGAACAATTATTTCCAAAGAGAGTAGAAAATGACCGTTCAAAAGTATTCATGTATATAATTTTAAAGGCACATAGTAATTAAGTAAATATTATAGACATTTTTGCCTATGGCACTAAAAGTTTATATGCCCAAGCTGGTCAAGAGGTACTCTTAATTATCTTGCTGGGAAAATGGGGGATTGCCC